AGCTGCAAATTTACTGGTATAGTCTAATACTCTTTCATGGTTCCCCAATTTCTTTTTGATGTGCAAGTCCTTTCATGCCTTAGGGAAGCACAGAAGAAAGCGTGGAAGTACTTGAAACGTTAATAATTAGGTGCTGGAGGCTGATATTACAGGCCAACTGGGTGTCTTAGTGATGAATCAGAAATGCTGGGAGAGGGGGGAGGCATGTCAGGAACGACTGGGAGGATGCAAAGCTTGAAGTGACACAGCAAGGGCAATCACGCACAAAAAATTATCTTTCCAGAATCACTTTGAATGGACCTGAAAGGTGCAAGACTGCCTTTGTGAGAACCAGAGACAAGGAAGAAGCAAGACAATGCCTAGGTGGAACAGTTTGGCTGAGATGATGGATGGGAAAGTCCCTATCTTTGGTAAGTTACACAGAAAAAACTCAACAAGGTGTGATTCAGAACTTCGATGTGAGGATGTAGGGAGAATTCAGAGCATGCATGGGTTATGGGTCTCAATTAGGAGAAGATTGTGTTCTCCACCTTGATCAAGAAAGGAAGTAGGAGAATGAGATTAGGGCGGTATTAATCATCCTGCTATAGCCATGTTGAGGATGAGCAAGGCTAGTCTTCCTCATAAAGATCTAAGGGTAAGGGTTGTTTGGAACAAAATGGGATCTGAATTGGAGAGGTTGATTTGTGAGCTGTCCCCATAGAAATAATAGTAAAATGTATGTTTACATACATTCAGCAACACAGGGAGGAGGGAGCAGGGAAACGGGCCAAAGACCAAAGTGTTGTGGCAAAGCTTGGCTGTGGGTGAAGAGTCTCTTCCAAAGAAGTAATAGCTGGAGGGATAGGATGAAAACACGAAGACAGAGTCACAGGAGCCACTAGAGAGTAGATTTCACAAAGAATGTGCTCACGGGACCCCAGTCACCATCGGGTCCAAGAGAACGTGAATGCCGTTTCAAGCTGTGTCAGACTTTCCGTGGAGCCTGGGGGCCAGAGGAAAGGCTGGAACATTTGGGAGAAAACTGAAGAAGAGGCTTTGCAAATAGCGACTGCAGACCGTGTGCCCAGATTGTGATGCTAGAAGGGATCACTGTGGTCATTTCAAGAAGAAAGAAATAATATGTGGATATGGATCTGTACTTCCACAGGACTTACTTTGTCTACCTTTGAAAAATGTGGACTACCCTAATAACTTTGCAGAAATGTTGGCTTGTGGAAATACAGTGACTTTAGTGCTGATGATCAAGCACTTTTGCACCTCAAGCTCCCAGTTACATTAGTAATTGATCAAAGACAAGGCAGTGAGTACAGGAAATTTCTGGTTCTTGTGAAAACCTTTAGGTTTCAGTGCAAGGCACTTCTGAGAATGTTCTGGGCATCTCTGAGAAAACACTAATAGATGCAGAATCTATATAGTGTAGCACAGGCTCACAAAAACAACAAATTCAATATAGTTCTATATTTAATGTTGTTCACCTCCAGAGCAACACCACTGCAGTGTGGAAAATCACTGGCAGACTTACAGGGATATGCATATTACCCAGTATGACAGAACCAAAGGATGAAAAATTACTCTTAGACTTTGGAAAAGAATAGGGAAATCAAAACAAGCACAAAATTGTAGAAATACAAAACTTCTTCATGGTTTAGACACAATGCTTTAGAATTTGGAAAGGTCATCATAAACTACAAAACCTACACACATGTCACTTCTTTGCAATAAGATAAACACAAAGAAACATTTTATAAAGAAATTGGAAGCTTCTGCTCAGTCTTTTAAAGCAAAAGAAAAACTAGCAGTTGGGAGAGAAGAGTGAAGCAAAGGGCAAAAACACTGAAGAACAAAAGTCTTCATGGGCTGATCTTTTTTTTTTTCAGACTGTGTGTGAAAGCAATTTAACAAGTGAAGACCTGAACGTATTTGAAGATATTTTACTTTACCAGATCAAAACTAAAAGACAGCTGAAATGGCCAACAGACCAGTTGAAGCCTGTTGATCCTGTAGTAACAACATAAAATGTTAGGTTTAGTTGCTTTACTGGTTGGAGTGCATTGCAGAATCATTGAAAATGCAGCTCTTCTCGTGTATGCCCTCTCTTTGGTATCTCTGTCCCACACTGGCTCTTTGGTTTTTATCACCTCATGGCAGAGTGTCTGTCTTTATTCTGTTTTTTACTGGTGCAAGGCTGGTGAGCAGGGTCCAGCTGTCTGCTGCATGGCATTGTTGCGGGTCCTCTTCGTTAAAAACAGAGAAGAGGAAGCAAAAATATAAGTTGCTGGAAGAGTTTAGCTGGGTGGACAGATGGGAAAGGCCATTCTCTCCGATACATTATGCAGAAAGATCCAGCAAGGTGCGATTCATAGCTTGGATGTGAGGACATGGGGAGTGATCAGAGTGGAAGTTAGTCTCGCGTAAAAGACGACGGTCTCCTTCACCTTGATCAGTTAACTTCTGATAACCTGACTGACCCAAAGTGTTTATTAATCTGGATTTTTTTGACCCACTCACACCTGTGCCACTATATTGACCATCAGAGGTTTTTTTATTAGCTCAGCTGCTTTCCCTCTCTGGAATCCTCCCAAATTAACCTCTCTTGAGGGCTTAATTTCCATAGTACGCTACACTACACTCAGACCAGAAACTGAGCACTAACCTTCATTAATTCAGCATTTCCGGCTGGACTTGGGACATTTTTTTCACAGGCCAGCATAATTCCCCAAAGATTCAAAATATTTAAAGCAAAGTTTAAGACTGATAACAGACCTAAATGCCTGGTATTACTGTTATCAAACCTCCTCTGTTCAGATACCAGCAGCTGCTGTGCCTGGGATCAAGGGCACCCCACTCATGGGCATCGGCAGCATTAGTGGCAGTGGAAGCCATTCTTGGCTCTGTGCCTGCTCTGCCTGCCTGCCTGCCTGCAGGACACACGCCCCTCAAGACTTCTCCCGCTTTCTTTGTGTATTTACGCCTGTAGACTGGATTCCTCACCCTTTTGGAGCTTGGCTGGGGGGTTCCCCGCAGGGAACTGCTGCCTGCCGCTTCCATTCAGTTCTCATCCTATCAGTCCTACCACAGTCTGGGGACGCTGCCTTCCACCTTGCAAGTCCTCTCCAGCCCAGCTAATGTCACTTCAGCAGGCCGAACCGACCTGTCCTCTCCCCTGTCTTTATGTTTCCTTGGCTGGGATTCAGCCTCGTCTGCCAGGTTCGCTAAACACACTCTGCTCTCCGTAATCTGGGAGTACTCAAGGCTCCGGTGATCTTGTTAAATCTTTAAAAAGTGAAAAACATCCTACGTTGAAAAGAGCTGGAGATGCAACTCATCTCCCAAACTTACGGACCCGCTTTTGTTCTTTTAACTCCTCTGAATCGGGTTCCTGCAGCTACCTTGCCCCGGCCTTTACCTGACCTTTCCTTTTGCGTGACACCCTTTACAGACTGGGGAGCTTTGGCTCGTGCATGCGCGCGGGCAGCGAGGCATGGCCGAGCAGGGTAAAACGGTCACGTTTAATACTTGTAAAAGGTAGTTCAGGTTATGTTTTCTGCCCGTCACTTCATCTATGCCCCTTCTCATGGCACTTCTGCCTTAACACTCCCACAGGTTTAAAGCGGCTCGGGGAGCTGGATGGCCCAAACACTTGGAGTCACTACACCGGGCAGTGTTCCTTGCGGATTCCCAGCCGCCCCAGGCAGCGGGCTCCGCCATCCCGGCCCATCCATCCCCCAAGATAAGCCAAACCCACCCCACCGGGGGACGCGCGGGCGGACGCCTTCGTAGGGTACCAGTCCGTGTTACG